ATATATATAAGCGAACTTGCTTTGACAAACTTGAAAACAAACCATCCTCTCCTTTTTCATCATGGTACAAGAGAAAACTTTCCATGCATAACATCACAAGAGGAACGCAAAATTCCGTAGAATTAGAAAATACTTTTCATTAATAAGGGTTCAAGCCATCAGTAATTTTATAAGTTAATCGCAACTCCGTCAAAGAGTATTTCAACATTTATGCTCAATCAAGCATCTCGTTTCGGTGAATAAAGATGGACAAGAGGTACTTACTCAAAAAAACAAAAGCATGCAATCTCACACATGCACACAATGATAAAAACATGTCTGTGTATTTTGGGTAGTAAAGTGGTTGGAATCAAGCTTGGGATGCATTGTTGCAAGTGGCGACACCTTAACCAATCAAGCCGAAGCCTAAATCTTAATATTCATAAACATAGACATCCCTTTGTGGTTGATGGTTCATAAACATAGACATCCCTTTGTGGGTTGGTGGTTCTGCTCTAGACTCACAATCTCCCAAGGCCGAAGAGGAATTACGTAGGATTACAACCTCACACATCATAGGACCATAGTCTTATGGGCCATGAGAAACCCTTGGCAACAATATTGTGAATGAATTGGGAATTTTAGTAAGGAAAAGTTCAGAATGGGCTCAAGGCAAGGTGGTCAGGGTGTAACAACATGACTTCTTCAGTTCCACTTCTACCACAACTAGGGGACCCCTTCCTCGTTGAACTACCCAAAAAAAAAGAGAGTAAAAAAGGAAACCAGGTTTATTTACTAGTGATTTGAATCTTGAATAGTGAAATCACATAACTTGCTTAAGAAGTATCCAATAGCCTAAATAGAAAGCCATTTAATGGATATCCAAGCTGGCTAAAAATCACAAATATGACAAGTGCAAGTAATAGCAAAACAAAAAAGGAGATTCTATTATGTAAATTAGTTACCCAATAAAGATTCAATACATTTAAAGAGAGGATATGATCTCCATTGATTCATGATAACTTACATAATACAGGTAGACAACTAGACATATCTTGATATTCAAATTCAAAACTAAAATGTGCATGGACTTCATCTTATTTGGACTCAAAACGATGCACATCAATTTTGGTATTACATATTCATTCTTAACATATCTATATTTTTCTAATTTTGCATGATTGAACTTCATGCTTTATTTTGCTTGGATAAAGAAATTATTCCATAAAAAAAACATATTAATTTAATATATAGAACTTCTGAAATTTTCACAAATTTCCCAATAGAAGAAAGCCTATAAATAACCTCACGACAAAATATCCTATTGGTAATATATTGCTAGCAGTATTTACTGCTAACATGGTATCATAAAAGAAGTTGGGAGCAGTGTGTACCCCAACAGCAGGCTTTTTTGCTTGGTGTGCACATCAACATAGTTCACGAATTTAGTGAGAGCTTTTGTTTTTAACATCTTTATTTTCAAATTTCCAATTAGGATTGGGTTTTGATATTTCTTTATTTAACTAACCAAAAAATAAATATGTTATTTCTTTTGTTTAGTTTCCATTTGAAATTTTAGGGTTCAATTTCCTATTTTAGTTGGTAGGTTTTAGTTTTCTTTCTATTGGAGTTCCATTTTATGCAAGAGAAGCTTGGGTTTCTGAACTATAAAAATGACCTAGCTCTTTAATTCTGAAAGTAGAGTTTCTATTTTAAGTCTACGATTGCTTGGAGTTAAAGCCAAAGCTAGGATTAGAGTTAAGAAGCATTATAATATGTGTTCTGTGAAGTTTGCGAATTCAATAAAAGTGACATCTTTAAGTTCTGGCAATGGATTCCATCAATGAGGTGTTCATTCCTTGACGCCATCTTATGCTGCTCGCTCAACAAAACCCTAATCTTTGTATGGTGTCAATTCTATACAAATTACAGGCTCTCCTCCCAGTTGTTGTACAGTGTTGATTCTATGCAAGTTTAAGTCCCCACATTTTGGTGCTAATTCCACAAAATCAAATATTGTTTACTGCTATATAGATATAATCTTAGGGCCTCTCCTCTTCATGTTAGCCACAGCCCATCACATCATTCCTTTTCTCTAACCTAATTTCATCATCTTACCCTTCGCAAACCATCCACTGCCTCATGCAAACCCTAACCCTACTTGTGTAGGAACCATCCCCTTGGGCCTAAATCAGTTAATACTGCAACAACAATAAAAGGAAACTCAAATGGGAAATGCGCTAATAAGAGAAAGTTAAGCCTGTAAAACATCTACAAGATGATTGTTGGCTCATGTGGAGTTAGACAAATAAGTAAAACCTCGTCATATATGTATTTGTTGAAATCATTATATAAACACATACACAGACACACACTAAGAATCTACGATCAAGACTGGTGATCAATTAGCTTCAATATGACAAAAATATAGTGCACATGACAAAATACACCCAACCAAGAAACAAAGGATGCTACACTGCACTTTGGGACAAATGGTGTTAGCGATCATCTGCAAGAACAACATAAAAGAAAATATCTAGGCTCTAGTGAATTGTATATTGTTGACATTTAGTGAAAATCTCTAGCAATCAACATAGTAAAATCTCCACACAGACGCCTTCCTAATCATATAACACCTCAGTTGTTATCTAAGATCCTTTTTTATTTGTGAGAGATATCTAAGATCCTTAACAGCCAAGAGCATTTGCAATACCATTGACATCTCTATATGTACGGCACTTTCTCATATCCTCACTTAAAACTCCTCTAAATTTTGAAAACTTGAAGTAGATCTTCCTAGCCGCTCTTAAACCATTTGGATGCGAGGCAATACGATACATCTACAGATTGACCAGGAAAGGTCCATAGCGAGCTTTATACATGTAGTAAAGTGTGTATTTGGTTCATTGGCAGTTGACACATTCATTTTTCCTTTTCTCCCAATGCATATCTTATTGGTCAAGTAAAGGAAACCTTTCTTTTGCTGTGAGGGTAAGACATCTAGCTCTCCCTAGATTTTTCTCTAACCCTAGTAAGATGTAAATTTGTGGCACATTGTTTAACTACTAAATAATAAAAGCAACATATGTGACTGATTAAAAAGAAAACACATAACACAACATTTACATAATTTATGATATCATTTCATAAATAAGAAGCATGAAAGAAAATTGTAGGAATGCCTTTTTGATAAAATATACAAGGACAGAGAACTATTTATCTCCATAAGCCTGACAGATGCATTGGAGGCTCATGCAGACTCCAAACAGAGGGAACTCCAATCCCAGTTTGAGCACACTCTATAATGATATTCCTGAATCCTAAGGGGTACCTGTAGAGAAAGAGGTTACTTAATGCCATAAGAAAATCATATTCATGATCCAACAAGAAAAAAACAATCATATGCGCAAGAGAAAATCTTACAAAGATCAGGAGATAGAAGTAATTCCTCACGGTTTTCTCATTCGCAAGATAAAACAGAGGCATACAAAGATAACAAGGTCTAACATAGGATCATACCCAAGGAACGAGTAAAAACTTCTAATTTCCTCTACTCTGCAATCATCAATCCAGTATACCTCATAGATTTGTTTACATCTGTCCCCTCAGGATTCAGTAATGTAATTACAAATTGTTCCTGAACTAGGACAGCCACAGCTTCCTCTATTCAGAGTTTGTATGCGTTCTCCATACGTTGGTGAGGCTCATGGAGGTGAATTTAGTCTATATCCTCATATTTTTTAACCAAAAGAGAATCATAGTTTCTTTGTCATGCCTTCTACTGGCATCATTAAATTTGAAAGTAATGTGGTTATATATGTAAATTGGTTTCAGAGCATGCTTTTTCTTTCGTCAGTAGTTAAACAACATGCAACAACAATACAACATGAAAGGGTTGGATTGAAAACTGGGAAGGCAAAAAGTCAGCGACCAAAAGACATAAATCAGCAACTAAATGGGTTGGAAATGGAAAAACTCAATAAGATAGGCTCGAGCATAACTCTTTAGGGTCCAATTTCCCGAAATCCTTAAGCAAGAAAAGAACAATTGGGGCACAAAGAATGAGTGTCATGATTGGATAGGTTGATATATCATGAAACTATTAGGTCTTTTCATTGTTGGAGTAACATCCAAACACTTATAGGAGGCATGAGTCCACTATGTCGACAAGTAGCAATGGTGGGAGACTGAAAATGTGGGAGACAACTTCGTACAGATAGTGTTCAGCAAAAGGTAGTCATACACTAAATGTTGGAGTCCAACCATATACCAAATTTTGGAGTCCAATGCTCCATCCCGAAACTATGATAGCTGGTTAAAATATGCCTCAATACACTAAATGTTATCCTAATAAAGAAACAAGTGAGTGGCCAATTTCTAACTGAATCCTGGAAGTTTTTTCTACCTAACTTGGGGCATAACTTTGTGTTATTTAGTCCAAGTGAACATCTTGGACACAAAAATAATGAGGCGGTCAAAGGAAGCTTACAACTTGGACACGTAAAGCTTTGTTGATGTCACTTGGAAGAGGTAAGGTTTAGTCAAAAGGAGAGAATCATACTTTGAAAAGCTAATTAAGTGGATCTTCATGCAGAATGCATGTCATTCTTTTACATGAGAAATCATCATCATTATCATCCAAGCCATATCCCAACTATTTGAAGTGGGCTACATAAGCTCTATCAAGGGTCAAACCCTTAGTCAAACGATAAGTCACCATATCTCTTCTCACTACTTCCATCTGTCTTTTTGGGCCTTCCTCCTTACCCTTTTAGAGCCTTCCACTTGAACCAGTATTAGGTCTATGTTGTACATGGCCAACCCACCTAAGTCTACTTTCTCTCATCTTGTCGCCTATTGGAACCACCCCTAAATTGCCTCATATGTGTTCAATCCGAATTCTAGCCTTTCTTGTCCAACCACTCATTCATCTCAACATCCTCATCTCAGTTATACTAATCATATAAATACATTGTTTCTTAACCGCCCAAAGTTCTGCCCTATAAAGCATGGTTGGTCTTACAGCCGCCCTATAAAACTTCCTCTTCAGTTTAATTGGTATGTGATGATCATATAAAAAACTCCAGATGTACATCTCCACTTCGTCCACCAAGATCTAATTCCATGTGTGACATTTTCCTCAATCTCATTCTTCTAGATTATCGACCCAAGATATAGAAAATAGTCTTTTTTAGGTATTCATTAGCCATCAAACATAACTATTTTTTCATCTCTACACCTATTATTACGGAACTTGCATTCCATATATTTTGCCTTGGTCATGCTAATTTTAACACATTTATATTCTAGAGCATCGCTCCAAAGTTCTAATGTTGCGTTGACGCCGCCTCAAGCCTCATCAATCAAAACTATGTCGTATGCGAACAACATACAACACGGTACCTCATCCCATAATCTAATTAACCTGTACATGGCCAAAACAAAGAGATAACGCAGACCCTTGATGTAAAGCCACTATCACTGAAAATTCACTTGCCTCTCCACTAGTTATTCTCACACTAGTTAGCACTCTCTCGTACATCTCTCTCACCAAGTCAATGATTCCTCTAAAGACTCCTTTCTTTTCCAACACATACCAAATTAACTTTCTAGCTACCTTATCGTATGCTTCTCTAAATCAATAAAGGCCCAGTGGAGGTCTCTTCCCTTCTCCCTAAACTTCTCAATCAGTTGCTTAAGTAGGAAAACGGCCTTAATTGTTGACCTCCCTGGTAAGACCGAATTAAGTTTTGTTACACTTATTTCATGTCTTAATCATTGCTCAATCACTCTCTCTCCAACAACTGCATAGTGTGGCTCATAATTTTGTTCCCTCAATAGTTCATATACTTCTGTATATCACCTTAGTTCTCGTAAATAGGTACTACAATAATTTTTCTCCATTCTCAACATCTTATTCAACAGCTTAGCAACCAGAATATGTCAATCTCTCCCATGCACTTCCAAACCTCTATTGAGATACCATCAGGTCTTAAAGTTTATACTATCTTCACATTTCTCACAGCTTCATAGTTTTATCCTTTGAATGTATCTATGACCTCCGACCTCATTTATATCGAAAGTTTCTCCTAATGTTGTGCTCCCAAAGTGTTCATCATTTAACAATTTTTGAAAATAAATTCGCCACCTATTGTTGACCTAGTTATCCTTCACCAACACCCGGGATCGTCACTCTTAATGCATTTAATATAATCTACACTTCCTCTCTCTAATTTTTGCTAGTTTGAAGACATAGCCCCAGTTTGTTGAATAGATCATCGTATGCCTTTTTTTTTAATGTAGAAGATCATCATATGCCTTAAGTTCAGCCTTATTATGTTCTTAGCATTTTTATATTCTTCTAAGTTTTCTTTATATATTTTTTGAAAAAACGTTTCATATCTAGTGGCTTGACCCAACCTGGCCCAACTCCATTAACAAGGCAAGCCGTGCACCTAGCCCAAGACTAGGCCGTGCCTGGGCTAGGGCCACTTTGGCCCAGCCTAGGCTGGGCCGGGCCCTGAAGTAGGCCCGGCAAGCCTGTAGTGTCTAGGACCAAGCTTAGGCCATCCCTCGACTAGCCCAGGAGGAGCCCATTGCCACCCCTATCACGAATTTTGTCTAGCGAAAAGACCAAAGGGAGGGAATCCACTTAGATAAGTGATTGGAGGTTCACGAACTAAAGGGACACCTGAATGTGTGATAAAGTCAGTGAGTAGGCTCTTTTGTCTCACTAGATTGAGAGGATAGTTAGTGAGGACAACATTTTTGTATTTGAGTCTTAAGAATTGCATGTGAGGAGGATGAAAGGTACGAGATGGTATCAAACACAGGTTGACAATTTTGAAAGAACGTACCATCTTTTAGAAGAAAGGGGTCCTTACGAATTCATGTCTATGTTACATCTTACAAAGACATTGATGTCAGCACATTTCAACATGTCTAACACGGAGATGTGTCTGACACTACTCAACATGTTAGATACACAATGAGACACAACTCATACGTGTATGTGGCATGTCTTGAAAACCTTCATGTTAGACACATGCTTCTTGGAGTGTCTGCCATCGACAAGTGTTAGACATGCGCTTCTTCGAGTGTCAACCATTAGATATGAGTGTGCCTAACTCTAGACACATGTTTGTCATTTAGAACCACATCCATAACGATAGGCACATGTGTCCATCACTTAGAGACACATGTCCCCAACGCGTGTACATGCAATACAAACAAACATGTCAATGAGCATCTATTTTGTAATAAATTTTAGTATTAAGAGTTCAAATTAATTTTATACTAGCAGAATGCACATGCTTTGCACGTATTTAATTTCCTTAATAATTGAATGAAAAATACAATTTCAAATTTTAAAAATAAAAAAAAATCTGCAAATGAAAATAGATGAGGTACAATTATTATTGACTGATTTATGGATAGTAAGGATCTCTCTCTAAGAATCTCTATAAATCTCATTTTTATCCTCAAACTTTGGAAAGCTTCCATTGGAGATAAATATGTCTATAGAGTCTTTATAAAGCTTGATTTTATCCTCAAAAGTTGAGAAAATTTTCATTGGAGATGATATGTTTTAAGATATGAATAGGTACATATCTCCTACAATTTTGGATCTCCTTTTAGAATTTAGATAGATCCCTCACTCCCCTGCCAATTTGGACCTCCCTCCCTCCCTCCCTCCTTTGTCTCACCCATCCTATACCCTCTCACAGTTCTCTCTCTTTCTCAGTCAGTCAACCATCCTAAGCCCTCTCTCGGTGTAGCTCTATTCTCATTGATCACCTTGTGTCCCTCCCTACCCTTGACTTTTGCCGTAAATAAACTATCCTGAGAAGCCATGCAAAAATACAATAAAATCTACACCTAAATCAAAATCTATAACACATTGTTAAATATTTAAAATACCATACCAAGATCTAGAAAAAAAATGAAAACAATAAAAAAAATAGAACTACACCAAATCTAGAACATAAATCATCACCAAAGAAAACAAAAACGACATAAACACCCATGCTCTACAATTACATACGTAATCATTTTTATCTAAAGTAGGTCGAACTATAAAATATTATACATGTTTCAGTCATCTATTGTTCCACTCAGCCTCTTCTCCTTCCATATAAAAAACCCACAAGCCGTCTCCATCTTAATCAGATATCCAATAATCAAGTATATAAGGGATCAAACCTGAAAGGAGTAACAATTTGGAGAACTTGTACTCTGGATTTTATTTCAACATCACTATTTTTTGATGTAAATAATTTGAAGACGTTTGTGAGGTCCGTACTTTTTCTATCATTTCTTTTCTTTAATAATATGCCTCGGGTAAGGGAACTCTTCCCCACTGATTCACACAAAAAAATAATCAAGCAAATATCTGTATTATTAATGGATTTCTCTGAACAATAGATTGCTTCAGATTAGCACTACTAGAAGCTCCTAAAAAAATATACAAGATAGAAACTGATTATTCCAGATTATGAAGCACAATGCTAAATCATAATTATCGAACATGGGAGGTAAAAAGAGAGATACATAAACATAGGAATAAACATGGCATTTAGGACACGAACTTGAGAACATTGAAAAGCCATATAAAACCCCACACAAACAGCGACATGCAAGGATTATTTAGGAGTACCAAAAGAAATTTACAAAACCCAACATATTAATAAAAGGGATTGCATACAATGAGACAATTTACCTTTGATATAGGGATGTCACAACTATTTATAACCATCCGATGTGAAATCTGATAGCTTGGGTGTGTTATAGAGTTCAAAAAAAAATCTTTTGAATTTTGAGCTTGGTCAATGAAATAAATGCTGCTACCCAATTTCACATCCAATGGTCAAGATTAATTGTGACCACCTTGTATCAATGGTAAATGGTCTTATTATATACTTTCCTTTAATAAAATAGGGGATATTAAGGTAAATATCCCTATTTTCTAGGGATATTTAATAAACATCCCAAAAATTTAAAATTTTATGTATATATCCCTTTTCTACTTTCTATTTTTCCCAAAATGCATAGTAGTTTGGTACTCTCCATTCTGAATTGTGCTAAAGTTCGTTTTTGCAAAAATTAGTATTTAGTACTAAGAGTACCAAACACATTCATGCCTTAAACAAAGTTTGGTACTAAGAGTATCGAACAAATATTAAAAAATAAAGAATGAAAGTGTTTGGTACTCTCAATACCCAGCATAAGAGAAAGACAATAGTTTAGTATTGAGAGTACCAAACATAACACGTAAAATAATATATTTGTTTGTTACTCTTAATACCAAACTTAATGAGAGGCATGAATAAGTACACCCATTGCCAAATAGTATTTTTCACAAAAACCTACTTCAATACAATTTAGAACTAAGAGTACAAAAATGAGTATTTTCGAAAGCGAAAAATAGAAGCAACATCTACATAAGATTTTAAATTTCAAGGACATTTTAAATATCCCTAAAAAATTGGATATTAACATCAATCCCTAAAAATCAAAGCCTTATCCCAACTATTTGGGGTCAGCTATAGGAATCATGTTCCGCGGTTTCTGCCAGTCCACTCTATCAAAGGCCATATCCTCAATCAAACAATAGTTCACCATATCTCTTCTTACTACTTCCATCCATATCCTTTTGGACATTTCTCCTGGCTTTCCACTTGAACCAAATCGCCCTTCCTAACTGGTGTTGTTCTAGGTCGATACTGCATATGGCCAAACCACTTAAGTCTATTTTCCCTCATCTTATCGCTTATTAGAGCCACACTTGAGTTCCTTCAGATGTACTCATTGGCAGTCATCCATCTCAACTGCACTCATTCTATGAATATATTGTTTCTTGACTGCCCAACATTTTGTCCTATAAAGCATGGTTGGTCTTACAACTGTCCTATAAAACTTACTCTAGAGTTTAATAAGTATGTTACGATCATATAAGACTCTAGAAGCACATCTCCACTTCGTCCACATAGCTCTAATTCTATACGTGACATCTTCCTCGACCTCTTCATTCTTATGGATTATCAACCCAAGATATTGGAAATAATCTTTTTTAGGTCCTTCTTTGCATCAAACTTAACTAATTTCTCGTTTCTACTCCTACTATTACTAAACTTGCATTCCATATATTTTGTCTTAGTCCGAAGACTCTGGAGCATCCCTCCAAAGTTTTAACTTTGCATTGTCATCTCTAGTCCCATTGATCAAAGCTATACCATCCGTAAATAACATACATCACGGTACCTCTTCCTGTAGAAGCCTTATTAATTCATCGATAACCAAAATAAAGAGATATAGGCTCAACATTGACCCTGACGTAAGCCTATTGTCATTGAAAATTCATTTGTCTTTCCACTTGCTGTCCTCACACGAATTAATGCTCATTTGAAAAAAAAAACATAGCAATTAGTTCATGAAGAACATAAACTCGATACAAAAGTGCGACTTGCTTGCAAATACTTAAGCACATGCAATTGGCAAAGAGTTCAACATAAAACCCAATGCTCGTAAGAATAAACATAAGGAGCTAGCTCATGAATTGGAGATCATCGATGAAACCACAAAAGCCCCACTACAAAAAGGCGACATCCAAAGAGATAAAGTCTTGTAAAACCAAATACTAGAAAGTGGCATGCAAATAGCAAATTATTCCATTAAAAAAAAAAAAAAAAAAAAATACAAGTAGCCAATAAAATATACATAAAAATTAGCTCATGAACTAGAGATCAATGCTAAAACAACGCAAAACCCAATGGTGACATGCAAAGATTGATCAGAATCTACTAGCAAACAACTCTATTTACAATCATTATACCTGGAAAGATTGTAAGTGAAACTATCATAGTTATCGATCACAGCGACTGGATTAACTGAATTATTCTCCTTAATTTGATCCTTAGCTGAACCCACTTCAGTTAGGGTTCAAGCACTAAGGGGCCAAAACCCTTATTCCCAATTGTTTCAAAGCGATGCAAATTGAAACCCCCAACTGTGGAGAAATTGGGGTATTTCTTCGATAGATGCATGTTTAGAGAGAGAGAGACAGAGAGAGGGAGGGGGGGGGGGGGGGGGGTTGGAAATTGAGTTCTTCTTGAGGAGGCCTTAGTTTGAGTATCGGGGTCGAGAAGGAGATTTTAGATTACAATGAGCCCGATGCTCATCATAAGAGAGAAAAAATGAAGGGTATGCACAGGGGGGCCGGTGACAGAGAAATGGAAAGTTTGAGAGAGAGAGAGAGAGCGAGAGAGACAAAAATGTCGAAACGATAATGGCTGCATGCATGCCTGCACCAGAGCACTCTTGACAAGTTATCTTCACAAACGACTGAAGTGCCCTTCGCCACCTCCATCTTCTCAATAGAGTCGGAGATTTGGAATTGTAACGGAAGGGGTAAAAATCGTAAATAAGACTCTTTGCGCCAGGTGCCGATTTAACCTTGTAGAGATGTCCTTTGAGAACCCTTGTGAAGACCTAAAATCGTCGGCATTTCATTTTAAATTTTGGAGGTTCAAAGTGAATGTAAATTTGACATATCTGTGATTATTTGAAAAATAATCGCCTTACACAATACTTTATTTTTAGTGAAATTTATTTTTTTTTAAATTGATTATTATTGAGGTGCAGATGATTTGTTAGTGCCTGAACATCAAATTTCCATACAAGATATATGTAGTGCAGTGCTTCAAAAAGTAGAAATATTAATTTAGCAAAAATTTATTTACTCCCTTGAAAAAATCTCATTTTGAATTAATTTTAAGACCCCAATTTGAGGGATATAATATCTTCAATCCATAGATTAACCTTAATCAAAATAATAATTCTTAATTGCACTTAAAAAAAATAATGCTTCGAGACCGATTAGAGACCGTTCAAATTTTAAATGGAAAGATATCTAAGTATTAGAAAACTCAAATTTTTTTTATATAATAATTATCTAGAAATTCTCAAGTAGTTCCTAAAATTTAAGATTGAATAAAATCCTCCCAAGTAGGTCGTCGGACTAAAGGAGTAGACGTAAACTATGCTCCCAAGGGAGGATAGTGAACTTTTCCATAAATTTAATTGTCAAACCACTTGCGCAAAATTCTTTGCATGGTCATTCATTCGTGACGGTAGTGCGGTTAATTTTTTAAAATTCATTTCTCTCAAATACCCCATCTGAAATATACAGCTGAAATTTTTCCAATTTGTAGTTGTTTTATATTCATAACTAAACAAACAAAGGTATTTTGATGATTCTCTACTCGAGTGGCCCAAGTTAAATGATCAAAATACATATAGTTGTCCAATACTAACAACTTGAAACGTCCAAATTATGTTAAATCCCTTTTGTTATTAAAAGTGAACAACAAAAAATATACATTTGTTATCGTAAATCAATATTTTTAAATTTGAATCGAGCTCTGATTTAGATGGGAATCGTTCAAAACCGAACCAATCATGTTAGTCCCAAGTTTGGATAAAGGAGGAGGGTGGTGTCAGATATGAGCCAGAGTAAAAATTTGCCACAATTTTTTATAAATACTGAACTATTGGTACAACACGATTCATGGATCTAACACCAAATTGCCGGGATAAAGCTCGAATGATACGATGATGCTGATTTAATGTTTTCTAATGTCCCTTCATATCCCCACCCTATTAACATCTACTTTTATTTTTCTTTTGTTTCATTTATTTTTTAATATTTCTCAGGATCACTGATTCAAACTGACTAGAACTCGATCCAGATCACCAATTAAGTGATCCAACACATATATGTGGGCAAATGATCTGATCTGCTGATATGGTTGAAACATTGTTGTAAACCCTATCACCAGATTCTTCACTTTAATAGGATATAGTATAAATTAATCCCTTTTATGATCTCCACTACAATTTTTTTTTAAAATAACTTAAATTACCTATGGGATACTACTTAAAGTAGTGAGGGAAGGTACTGTTAATATCTTGGGTCAACAATCCAAAAAAATGGAGACATTGAGAAATATGTCGCGCATAAAATTAGAGTTGAGTGAGTGAAGTTGAGAAGCGCAACTTGAGTTTAAGTGATCGCTACAAACCAATGAAATTGAAAGGGAAGTTCTATAAGACGTTTGTGATACCAACTTTGCTTTTATAGGGCAAGATATTGGGTGGTCAATAAACCACATAACCATAAGATGAGTATAGATGTGATGAGGATGTTGAAATAGATGAGTGGCAAGATAGCAAAGGATAAAATTTGAAATGAACACATTAAAGAAAACGTAGATGTGGTTCCAATAGACAATAATATGAGACAAAGTAGACTTAAGAGGGCTGATCACATGTAGTGCATAACTAATGCAACGCCTGTTAAGAGGTGTGTGTTTGTTCAAATAAAAAGCTAAAAAAGACAAAAGGTAGCCCTAAAAAGACTGTTGGAAGTAGTAGCAAAGATATACGAACATAAAACAAAATGATGGACCAGAAGATCCTAAATAATCAAGAAAATATTATGATGATGATAGTCCCCTTCAAATTTTTTATTTAATTATTGGTACCTGTTGATTAAAATAGTGAATAGAAAATTACAAAATACCCCAAAGATACACTTCCTATGCAACTTACCCCCAGCCCCAATTTTTTTCTCATTTTTTATCCCAAAACATTCTTTCCTAGCAAATGCCCCCAACCCAAAACAAAGAAACAAAAAAAAACTAAACTACCCTAACACTTTTACCCATGCCTCTCTCTCCTCTTTCCCTCCTTCGATCAAAAATGCGGTCCGGCAATCAAAACAAGCGGTCCAGTACTTTTCGTTATGGTCAAAATTGCGGTTCGGTAGTCAAAACAACAGGTATGGCACTTTTCATTCTGGTCAAAACTGCAATCTAGCATAACAGACATGCGGTCCTGCACTTTTATTATGGTCAAAACCGCGGTTTGGCAAATTGAATAAGCAGTCTGGCTTTGATGTTTTTGGATAAAAGTGCTGTCCGACAGATTAGACACATGCTTCGACACATTTTTTTCTGGACAAATGTGCGGTCCGGCAAAATTTTTTCTGGACAAAAGTGCGGTCCGGCAAATTGAACAAGCGGTGTGATACATTTTTCTTGGACACAATGCAGTTTGGCAGAGAATAAACGCGATCCAACATGTTTTTTAGTTTAATGGGTCTAGCAATGGGTTCATGTGGTCCGACAGCCCATGTGGCTTTTGGTACTGTACGTATGCCCACATGAATGTCAGGCAAAAATTATTATTTTTTTTACAAAAAGGGTATTTTAAAAAAAAAATGTGCTTTTTTGTAGTTGAGGGTATTTGTTAAGAAAGTATATTTTGGAAAAAAAAAATGAGAGCAAATTTAAGTAAGGGTAAGTTGGTGTATTGTTGGGGTTATTTGTAACTTTAGTACTTGTAAACTATAGTGGTGACAATCTTATCTTAAAGACCTATGAATGGAAAAAGGAGAGCTAAATAAGGGTCTCTCGGTGTGCAAAAATGTAGGTGATGGCGGAAGAGGTTCTACGCGCGCGTGGAGGGAGGCTGCTAAAAAACGGTCTCTGTTGTGATGGCGAACCACCGCGTGGCTCTCTCTGTGTTGCCAAATGTAGGCGATGGCGGGCGAGGTTCTTACAGCGCGTGGCGGGAAAATTTTACAAATTTTAGCCTCTACTCTCTAAACTTACATATTTGCCACTGTGAAATTGGATTCATTTCAAATCAGAAGGTGATGTGACCCTGAAATGGACGAAGCAGGAGGAGGGTATTTTCGTTATCATGGAATAAAGCACTGCTAGAGTGCATTAGTCAGACCCATTTCGACATTTTCTCTCTCCGTTCAGGGCCCTTCTCTCTCTCTTTCTATATTTAGTCATGGTTTCTCTCTCTAACTCCCTTTCTCTCTCTACATATCTATTTCTCTCTTCCACCCGGTTTGGCCCTACTCTCTCTCTATACCTATCGTTTTCTGGCCCTCTCTCTCTTTTATCTGTCTCCCTGCACACACTGCCCAATTTTTCCTCATTTTCTCCCTCTTCCGGTTGGGTGCCTTGTAACCTGCTCTCATGGCGTTCTCGGTCTCTCTCAACCCCACTACTCAAATTAATGCATTTTCAAGAAGACACCAAGTCCAATCTACTTTCTCTCTCCAAACTTGCAACCGTCAAAGTAGGAACCCCCTTTTCTCTCACTACGTCTCTCTTATTCTTTCAATTCTTTCAGTGAGTTCCTCCTCTGACTCTCTTTCTCTCTCTCCAGATGCTGGTTTCAATATCCATGGCTTTGAAACAACTGGGAATAAGATTTTTCGCACTCTCAGAGCCTCAGCCATAACTGAAGTGGGTTCTGCCAAGGACCAAATTAAGGAGAAGAATTCAGTTAATCCAATCATTGTGATTGATAACTACGATAGTTTCACTTATAATCTTTGCCAGGTGAGGTTAAAAAAAGGGGAAAAAAAAAATCCTTCGCGTTTTGTATACTATCATTTGCGAGTAGCTTTGGATTAATATTAGCATGTAATTTTTTTTTTACTTGGTTTTGCAAATTTTATCTGTGATCTCAAGTTCACGAACTAATTTTCTATATTTTGTTGTTTCAAGTATGTTGGATTTGTTTGTATAGAGCCCTTTGCCTTTGATTAGTGTCACTTTTTGCATTGGGTTTTGTTAATCTTTGCATGCCACTTTTTCATGTAAGTTTTTATGTGGTTTTGAAGGTTTGGCTAGGCGCCGGCTCGGACTCAGGACCTGCTTCCCGCCTGAGCCAAGTTACTTGGACTCGCCTGGTTGTGCAGGGGCCCAAAAACAGCTAAATAATAAAAAAATGTTTTAAAAAGAAAAGTGAAAACGAAATTGAAGATAGAAAAACAACATTAGAAGTCCAAATAAGATGGAAAAAAATATAAAAGATAGATTTAGAAAAAAGAATTTATAGCAGGAAACATTTTTCAGAAAATCTAAAAAAAGTGGAAAATATAAAAAAGGACACATGAAATGAAAAACTCACCAATCGCCATCATAAAACATCAAAGTTACATATAAAAAATTTATCATTTACTTTGCAAAAAATATAATTTTTGTGAATTTTATGAAAATTTTTATTTTTCCCGAGTTTGTATTGGGCTTGATGGTTTTACTTTTATCAATGATATTGAGTTCATGAACTAATTGTAAACTAATTGCTATGTTTATTCTGGGAGTATGTTGGGTTTTGTGTTGAGTTCTTTGCTATTTGCTTGTGATTAATCTTTGCATGTCAGTTTGTTGTATTGAGTTTGATGGTTTAACTTTTATCAATGATATTGAGTTCATGAACTAATTGCTATTTTTATTGATACAATTATGTTGGATTTTGTATAAATTTCTTTTGTTAGTTGCTTCTGATTATGGTTTTATCAATGGTCTCAAGTTCATGTACTAAAATGCTGTGCTTATTCCTTTGTCTATGGATATCTTTTTCGCCTTTTAGCATTTTGCTTCATAGTTGGAATGATAAGTTTTTCTGTAATGGAACAACATTGAAAGTCTAGAAACAATTCTTGAAAGTCTTAAAAAGATGGAAAAAAATAGAATTCAGGGAAATTTAATTTATAGAAACAATTCAGAAAAATCCATTACAAGGGGAAATAGAAAAATAGAGCATATGACTCACAAATCATCACCTGAAACATCAAAATTTTACATGTCTGAGTTTGTTCCCAAGGCTCGGCTTGACAAGGTGCTGTGTCCGAGTAACTAGGCTGAGTCCAAGTCAACTTGGCTGAGTTTTTAAACCTTGTGGCAGACAGATAAAAACTCAAATACTTGTCCCTTTGTTCTTCTAAATACTTTTCTTGTACTTATTTGCTTCACCTTCCCAAAGAGCCTATCCATGGCCCTACTCTTTACTGCAAATGACTTTCACCAATTTACCATCTTATTTCCATTGTCATCACTTTCGAGCCTCATCATTACAGACTTCAAAGGTAGCCATCTCAACCAATTTGCATCTATAATCAACTTTGGATCTGGAGCCAATTTGTTGATTGTCTTTGGACCAATTCACCAGAACTTATCTTCCAATTCCGTTGACAAAAGGGAACTATCTGCGGCAGTTGTCATCAGGACCCCCTGGTTACCAGTCTGCATGCAATAGAACACATTCACCCTCAAATTCTTTGAGAAAATAAGAGGAACTAAGCATTGTAGTGCTTACACTTCCACTAGACCTTTTTTCATAGAGCACTGTTAGATTCAAATTACGTCCTCGGCACAAGGCACTTAAGTTACCCCTCTCATAACTTAATGTGGTGTTCATTCTAAGTGAGAGTTTGCTTGCTAAGAACTGATGATGGACAAAAATTGGAGTTTTAATGAGAAAATAGCTGAGCTATTGATTAGTTCACATGCAAACAATGCTCGAAATTTTTTAATGATACAGATTGAATCAGATGCTAAGAGCTACATATTTTTCCTTCTCCATTTTGCAGTACTTGGGCGAACTCGGTGCAATCTACGAAGTGTACCGGAATGATCAGATCACCGTAACTGATATCAAAAGGTATTTGTTTTCTTCTTTTCCTTGGATATGATCATATGTTTGACCTTGTTGTCTTTGTTTGTTTTTGAATATTTTGTTTTGTCCTGTTAAGGAGAAAGCCGAGAGGAATACTTATCTCTCCTGGTCCTGGTACGGTTTTTCCCATGTGATTAATACTAATAGGATCATACATGTTATTAATTTACGCTACAAATTAACCTCCTTGTCTACTGGCCCCCCATGATTAGTTTCTGTTACAAATTAACCTCTTTATCCACAGGTACCCCTCAGGACTCAGGAATATCACTACAGAGTGTGCTGGAACTGGGACCGGAGTTTCCTCTCTTAGGAGTTTGCATGGGCCTCCAATGCATCGGCGAGGCCTATGGAGGTAAATAGCTCGATGTCCTTCAATGACATTGTAAAATTATGAATTTTTTTTGTGTTTTCCATTCTGTTTGAATTGGTCACGAAGCTTTCTTTTATTATTCAATAGTTAAATAATACACAGAAGTACTGAAAGAAGTGATTATGTGGCATTCAAGGAGTAAAGTTAATTTTTTCTCTCTTTTTATTAATGTATCTAAATTCCACTTACAAGTGCCACATACCACTGCTGTAAACAAAGAATAAAACCCCAAATACAACAAAGGATATTTCCTTTTACTGCCAAATAAAAGAGACACAATCCAAGAACTAACAAGAAGCTCACATTAAGAATTTCAATAAATATAAAGTTCCTGGAAATCGCAATAAAACTGAGGAATAACGGTTGAAAATAAACTTAGAGAGCCAGGAAGACTTGCTTGACTTTGCCTAGGGTCACCCCCTTTGAATTTCGTACACCCCATATGCCCGATTACCTTGACCGATGGTGCACTCTAATCCTATTGGCCCTACTGAATTTTCTGAATTGGGAAACTCTTGGGCAATACCTTTCAGATCTAGGGTTTTGAGAGCATAGACAAGATTAGGGTTTTTTTATGCCCCTTTTGGACCTCTTAGGGCATGCCTTGAATGGCACCTCCCTTGGTCTTACTTTGGGCTGGGCATGCCTCGATATAAGAATAATATCTTTGGGTCACGTTCCACCCCTACTAGGGTGGTGCTTGCCACCCCTTTTGGTAGCCGGAGAGGAGAGAGAGAGACAAGGAGAGAGAGAGTAGGGTGGTGTGGAGGAGAGAAGGGGGGGTAGAGAGAGGCTAGAAGTTTGTATAGAGAATGAGGGGGTCTCCTCTTATATAGGCCTCAAGGGCCCTAGGTATTCTCATCCAATTTTATAACTCATCATGACCAATAGGATTTGAGGTAATTTGTGAGGTGAGAGAGGAAAAGATCTATGCCATCCATCCCACGAATAAACTATCATGATTTAGGGATGAATCTAGGAACCTTATCCCCTGAATCTTTGGCCCATATCCAGTTCTAGTCAACTTAGGATAAGACCAATAAAAAAAACAACTAGAACTTGCTTTATCTCACATAATATTTTAGGAAGTAAAAAAGATAAAAGATTTGGTTAAAGATGTGAAAGATATTTTCAAAAAAACAAATTCCAACTCCTACAAATAAAGGTCCCTTGCCCCTCCACAGGTTTGTAATTTCAAAAATGTCCTTTTGAGGGTTTTACGACTGAAATATGATATAATTTCTGAAATTCACATGAACATTGACTACACAAAAAACGAGATAACTAGAAGTGGCTGGTATTAATGGGTCAAGAAAAGTGATTGTTAGAGCACTCCACCCTACCCACTAACCATGATCCTCGACTATTCTCTCAAACCATCCCAACAAAACCGATGACCCATAGTCTCATACAGGGGCTCATGATTGGCTCGTTAAAGCTGGCGGATAAATAGTGGAACCAATCTTGGAATGTGAATTGCTTCCCCCCCCTATAAGAGCTAATCATACACACATATCATTATAGTACAAAGGCGACTCTTTATGCACATGTACACGTATCTTTTTTCATGGTTGCTTCCCACTATGCGGCTGTTATATGTACGTACTATGCAGAAGTTTGTTAAGGTTTAACCCTCGCTCTCACAAGCCTACATCCGCACATAGGAGACCACGAAGCTCTCCTGGCCTACAAACTATGTCTCTCCCCACCTCTTCTTCGCCATTCTTCTTCCCCGGAGCGTGATGGAAGTCAAGCTGATACGTCTATAAAGAGAGAGACTCTCGCTGCTCTCTCCCGTTACAATTCTCTCGGCCTGACTTGACTCATTAATACGTATATGAGACCGTTGTTCCTTAGTAGCTCAATGGTAGAGCAGTCGGCTATTAACTGACTGGTCGTAGGTTCAAATCCCTCCCTGGGCATTTCTCCAATCTCAATAAGAATGATCCTCCAGAGACTCAATGGTAGTACCATGTATTCAGGGATAAGGGTTTTGGACATGATCATGGCCATAAACTTTAACCAACACAATCTCTCCCACTAAAGTGCATGATCCACTATAATTCTTTATTTACATGCTCTCATGACCTCTAAAGGTCAGTAGGCCACAAACCCCAACGACTACAACTTATAACGGTTAGAGGGAATATCTTGCCCTCTTCAACTATAAGAAAGATCTGCTCTACTTGACTGATAGGCTACGTATTGGGGTGAAATGAAGGTCTTAACTACCAACGAACCAAATACACACTTCACTAAAAGTATGTATCTCCCCTTTGACCTTACCTTGTCAACTTTGTACCATATTACCTCACATTTAAGTGATTTAAGAGTGGCTAGGAACATCTTCGATTCTTAAAAAATTAGAGGAACTTTAAGTTACGGATTAGAGAACTCACCGTACATATAGAGATGTTATGATATCACAAATGCTCTTGGCTCTTGATCTTAAATATCTCTCTCTCAAAATAAAAAAGTGGTCTTAGATAAATAGTGGTGAGATATATGATCTAGCAAGGTTCTCTTAGCCTGCAGATATTACTTTGTTGATTACTAGTGGTGTTCACTAAATGTCAACATCATTCATTCTGCTAGAGCCTAGATTCTTTTTTTATGTTGGTCCCGTAGGTGATCTCTATCATCCTCTGCTCCCAAAGTCCTATAGTGTGACCGACTCTATTATTTTGTTGTGTGTATTTTTTCTCTTGTACTCTATAGTACTTACTATTGAATTTGATTGATTATCATTCTTAAATAACTAAGTGAAACATAGATGCATACATATGCGTGTTTGTGTTTGTGTCGTGTTTTTTTTTGGGTGAATCAGTAGGGACGAGGCCCCTAATTTGTCTGTCTATATAGTAATTAAAACTAATACATACATGAAGAGGCTTAACGTATTTGTCCAACTTCACATGAGCCAATAGTTGTGTTCTAATGGCCTCGATAGGCTTAACCTTCTCTGACTAACTCTATTCCCTTTCAAGTTTCTTTTTGTTGTCCTTGTAGCATTTATTTATTTTGGACCACGAGGATGATTCCTACACCAGTAGGCTTAGAGTTTGGTAGCCTAGGTCTTATGTGAGGTTAAGCTTTGCATTTGAGGCCATTGCTGGTTTGAGGGGGGGGGGGGAGATGATGACTTGGGGTGAGAGAAAAGGAATGATGAGATAGGATGCGGCTTACAAGGAGACAAAGGGCCTAAAATTTATATGGAATCAGCAGCAAACAATTTTATCATTTTGCGGAATCAGCACCATGGAAGATCAAGGGACCTAGACTTGTATAGAATCAGAACTGTCCAAGAACTAGGAAGAGAACGTATGATATGTAGTGAATCAGCACCATATAGAGATTAGGGTTTCTAGTTCAATCAGCACTACAAATGGGAATGAGGAATCAATGCCTCATATTGATGGAATCCACGGCCAAAAGCTTAAAGAAGCCGCTCGTTATTCAATTTTCAAACTTCATAATACACATATTTTGGTGCTTCTTGACACTATTTCTAGGTTGGCTTGGACTCCATGCAATCTTAGACTTGCCATAGAAACTCTACATCAAACCTAGGAAGCTATGTAACCCTTATAATAGGGAAACCTAAGCTCCTATTTAAATATGATGTTGTGATACCAAGATTGATACATGTGTCTTTGAATCCAAAACAAGATAAGTTTATGCACATTTTGGTTTAAAATTTGAATGTCAAGAGTATGTAAGTTATCGTGAATCAATTGAAATGCCCATTCATGATAACTTTCCCTTTATTCTGGATCAAATGAAATGCATTTTATTTTTTTACGTAACTTATACATGTAATAAACACCTCCTTTTATTCTAGAAGTACCCATCCGTGATAACTTGCTTCTAATGTATTTGTCAAATTTTGTATCTTCGATATCCATTGAAATCTCCTTCAATTTAGGCAAGTAGATACTTTTTATGAAATTTTATATGTGATTTTTAATATTCAAAATTCTAAAAACTGGTAATTGAACCCAATTTTCCTTTTTCAATTTAATTCCCAATTCATTCACATTGTTGTCACCAAGGGTTCTCATGGCCTATGGGACTGTGATCCCATGACTTGTGGCGTCATGATCCTGCTTTGTCCCACTTTAGATTATGGAGTTTGTGATTCTAGAGCAGATCCAACAACCACAATGGGAAATCTCGTTATCTATGTATATAAGTAGGATGCGGGCTTGGGCTTGATTTGTTAAGGTGTAAACAATTGCACATTGCATCCCAAATTCAAATCCTACCACTGTGCTCCCCAAAAAAATGAATAGAGATATACATGTGTTGTGTGTGTGTTTAAGAGTATCTCTTGTAGATCCATCTTTGTTCATCGAAAACGATATGCTTGGTTAAACATCTTTATTGAAGAACTTCCAGTAGTTGCAGGTAAAAGCATAATAACTAATGGCACAAGCCCCTATTGATGAAAACTAATTTCACCTGATGGCATGAACACCTATTGATGAAAACCAATTTTGCATTCTATAGGAAAGATTGTGCGCTCTCCCTTTGGAGTTATGCATGGAAAGAGTTCTCTTGTATACTATGATGAAAAAGGAGAGGATGGTTTGCTTTTGGGCTTGTCAAAGTAAGTTCGCCACTTGCCTCTAGCTGCTATATATGCCATTCTTCCTCTAGCTGCTACATATGCCATTCTTTTTCTGACATTGCTCTTCTATTCAAAGTCAAACAACGTATGTTTTTTTTATCTTATGACATTGCGCTTTCATGCAAATTATATGTGTCATTCGTTTTATGAAATTGCTATGTAATACATAGTCTAACATGTTTTTTTCTTGACATTGCTCATTCGTTCAAAGTATATGTGACGTCTCTTTCTAACATTGCTCTTTAACAACCTTATTCAATCGAATTAAAATATTCATACACATGCAAATACACACACACACACACACTGACACACACTGGAGTAGCAGTTCTTTGTGCCTTCTAGCTTCCCACAAGTTTCATCTTGATGTATCAATTTTTGTTGTTAAAATACCTAATATATCAGCTTTGGAATGGTGCATGAAAGTGACGTTCCTTTTGTGATTTGAACATATTTGGGGCTTCCTAGCCAAAAGTTTTCCATTTTAAGGAATGGCTTACTTAAGGGCCTCATATGGCATGTTGTATTTTTAGAAACCTGCATGTTTCCTTTCTATTTATTCTGAATATCTATCTTTTAAATCTATATCTTATTTTACCTTGGGCAAACAATTTATACAGTGAGAGGGAAGAAAGGGCATATTTTACTAGTGAAAAGCTGCTATTTAGCTTTTCTATAAAAGTTGGATAAAGAAAAAAAATAGAAAGATAAATATATGTACAAGAAAACATAATTTGGCAATATTTATATTTAGCATATCCCAAACTACATTCTTTATCCAAATTTCCAATGTCTCTATTAATATCTCTCTCTCTCTCTATCTCTCTCTTTTTCTACACACACACACACATATCGGAACTTGATTTTGTGAGCTGGCTGTCCTATGCTACAGCAATGATGTGAAAACCAAACCGGACTTGCCGGTTCAACAGGTGGACCGGTCTGAACTGGGCAAGGACATGAACCGGCTCTGAACTGGTGGCAATGAACCGGTTTCTGCCCCTTCTTTTTTGTTTTTTTAAAAGAAAAAAGGATCCTAAGACGAGATTTTTTCGTCCTATTAATGAATGTTAAAGTGAAACTGTAAAAATGAATGTTAAAGTCAAACTGTAAAAATGAATGTTAAAGTCAAACTGTAAAAGTGAATGTTAAAGGGGAAGTTTCTTTTAGGAGCTGCCATATCTCTATAAGAAAGCTATTTACTGGCACATTAAATAGTTTTAAAAAGAACAAAACAAAGTTTTTTGAATGCCGTTAAATACAATGTGTCATTAAATATAAGAATTGCAATTATATATGAGATATCTATTTAAGAATGTGCCATTAAATAGCTTTCTTAAAAATATAAGAAAACTATTTAACGGCACATTAAGAAAGCTATTGAATGGCATATTCTAAAAAATGATTTTAGTAAATATAAGAAAGCTATTTAATGGCACCTTCTAAAAACTGATTTCCGTTTCTTAAATATATTTGGGGCTTTTTTTTTTGTTTTTCTACTTTTCTTTCTTCAATTTTTTATATGGAAAATGCACAAAACAAAGAAAATCCCAAAAATCGAAAAAAGGAAAATTAAAATTAAAAATAAAAACAGAAAAAAAAAACGAGAAATTTTTATTTTTTGAAATTTTTCTGTTTTTCATTTTTTTTTTTTCTCTATTTTCCTCGAATTTTCCTTATTTCACTATTTTATTAATTATTTAATGCCTTAGATCGGTCCGACTGGTGAACCGGTCCAGTTCGGCCGGTCCAACCAAACTGGTGCCTGTATGGGTTCGGTCACTCATCTGATCCTGACAACATAATGCTACAGTATAGGCCTGGGACGCATGTTTATCGAGTGGTGCAAGAACATTTTCATCATTTTTTATTTTGCAGATATTTTTTAATATTTTTTGTGTGCGTAGGTGTAGTGCACCTCTCCAAAGATTTTAGCTCAAAAGAATTTATAAAAAAACTACAACTGAAAATGTGCATTCCTACTAGCTGTTGGATATGCTCAGATTGAATCTGAGCTGTCCGGCCTGTACTATTTAATAGGCTTGCTTGCTCATGAAATCATTTTCTTGTGTGCTCATGAAATCTATACACAAAAGAAATGTAAGAAAATTATATATATATATATATATAAGATGAGGTACACCCATTTGTGTACCTCATCTTGTATGCCCAATGGCTCATACGTTTTTTTGTTTTTTAGTTCTAATTTTTAAAATTCTTTACATGAAATTTGGAGCATCCGGTGCATCTAATAAAAATAAAAATCAAATAAAAAATTTAATCAAATTACACCTAAAAGTTTAAGGGGGATTTTGGTCGGTTTTTGGTTTTTTAGGGAAACTAACAAAAATTCCCATTTTATTATCAAATTTAAAAAATAGTTCTGTATATTTTATAGTTTACGATAAAGTTCAGCTTTTGAGAGTGCATTTTATATTTTAACTTTCTTTTCTTTTCTGCACATCAGATTAAGCTCAAATTTAGGGTGTTGGCACTTCTCACCATCTCACTTTTGTAAAAAATACAAAAAAAAATTAAAAATAAATAGAATACCAAATACCGCAAAATTTTGAAATTGACAGAGCTATTTTAATCATTTTTATTTAAATTGATGTTATTTTTTTGGCATTTTGACAAGTGATAGTGAGAAGTATGAAGGATGGATACCTAAAAGTTCCCTGAGTCCTTGTTTTTCGTCATCTATTTATCTATGGTAAAGAGTAGAGTTTCCTTCTTCATTTCTGTATCTATTAATGTTTTTGCTAGATAGAGTGGTGTATCTAATTAAGACACACTAGTGTATCTATTATGATAATGAATATTAATGTTCTTCATATTTGGTAAGTCTGTTAATTATCACAATTAATAAAAGCATGAGGTCGTCTTCAGTATGGTAATGTGCATGGTCCCTATTACCTACATGCTCTGCAAATCCTAATGGATGCTCTTATACCTACTATTTTGGGTTTTGAGGAAGAGCGGTTGGGTTTGGTTAGGTCAGCGGCTGAGTTGGGGACGTGTGGGGAGGGGTTGAAGAAATGGTTTATGCATCTCCACTCCTGAAAAATAGGAAGAACTTCTGCTAAGAACTAAAAATGTGATCTTGATTTCTAGCAATGGAAAGGGGAAAAAGTAATCAAATCAATGTCATGTAAGTGTCTCATATGTGTCTACTACTCCAGCCTAGAAAATGAAGTAGAGGACAACATGTCTGTGCGAGTAAGCAAGTAGAAATTTTATACATATTATATATTTGTCATATAAAAATTCTGAAAATTTGCAAGAAAGATTGCAAAACATAAAAACTGAAATTGTTTCTTAATACTATTTATAAGAAAAATAAAAATATTTACTGTTTCACGCTCTTTCTTTTTCAATTTGATGCTTTTGAATCTTTTTAAGGCAAATATTTTGCTAAGCATACAGTAAATGTATCAGGTAGCTTCCCTGTAAAGCCATTGCTTCTAAGCCAAAGTGAGGGACAATGCTTCCTTTTTGCCATATAGGGAGGACCATATTCAAGTCCCCATAAGGAAGTTTGACTTTCTTAAATCAGAATGCATGTTTAGGTGGGGAGTTTATTGTTTGTTTTTCCAAGAAAGTGCGCCTTTCAAGCTATTAGTAAAATATATTTTTTTGAGAAATATTAATAAAATAAATTTCAATATAGAAAGTACTGCTATACGGTGATAGCGAAGAGGAAAAAATGGTTTGGCCTTTTATTGGGATGTTGTGGATTTGAGTCCCAGAAGCACTTATGTTTAGGTACTGATACTGCATCTTTAGATGATGGACATGGGCTACAAGGGTGTCAATATGCCATGTCTAATCACTGAGTCACCTGACATGTATGGACAACATGCCTGAGCCATAACAACCCATATCCAAATAAGTGTCGATAAGTTGATACACGCTGATACGTAACGTATTGACATGCGGCACCAAAGAAAAAATATGCAGTACCCAGGTGACACTGGTGCAATGCAGTATCTCTCAAAGACCCTACCAGATCTGTAAGTCAGTCTTATTAAGTTGCTTAAAAGACTCATTTTGTCTCTACCTGTCTTTCCCTTGGTTTTTGGATTATGGGCAAAGAGGACTGAAGATAAGCAAGAACTTACTCATCTCTGACTAGTGAGATGACGAGGCTTGTTGCCAAGCCCAACCACAGTTAGTATGAATGTGTTTTTCTTCTCTATGTTTTCTTGGGAAAAAGGAAAAAGTACATCATTATTACTAATCTACTTCCAAACTATTTCAAAATGGTTGTTACTGTTCTCCCTCGAGGAATATCCAATGAATTCAAAGATATTTGCATACTATTCTAATTATATGTTATACATGAAATTCAAATAAATTCTCTTTAAATGTCCAATTTGCAAATCTCTTTATCTGTATGTCATCCAATACTCAAAAAATTGAAAAATATATTTTGTCAAACTCCAAGAATATTATGCCTATGAGAAATATGAAATATAATAAAATAAGATAATTTATGGACATTGTTGCTATGTATTATGCCCCCAAATGCATGCTAAACTGCTGGCAAGCAACATAAGATGATCTCATATGGGACTAAAAGTATTTGTAAGTGTTCTTATTGTCCTTATCATTGAACTCTGTGGGGAAGCCTTAGGAAGACAATTATGTGCTCTATGTATTCTGAATGTCGTGAAATTATGTATTTAATGCTTATCATTGAACTCTGTGGGGAAGCCTTAGGAAGACAATTTTGTGCTCTATGTATTCTGAATGTTGTGAAATTATGTATTTAATGGATATTCTATCATGTAAGTACCTGTGTATGTTCTTACAATACACATCGTGGACATCCATCATCGAGCATTCTAAATACTAACAGTGAGCACTGGCCATAGTTTTCCCGAGGGACATCAGCACTGGAAACATCCTCCCTGCCCATCATAATCATCTACGGCGGTTACCCCAAATTTGTATTGTATACCATACAAATGATGTGTGCGATATAGTTCTTTTCTTTTGGTAATATGTATGCTGTAGTTTCCCATTCATCACAGGCATGTTGACATGCATATATACCTGATCTATTGTCTACTGTTATGCACAGCCCCTTCATTGCTGGTAGATACCACAGCCTTGTAATAGAAAATAAGACCTTTCCAAGCGATAAACTTGAGATTACAGCATGGACAGAAGATGGGTTGATCATGGCTGCGCGTCACAAAGAGTATAAGCATATGCAGGTAATTATTCTTATATTATGTCTTGGGTTCTCATATAGTTGTTGTATAAAGAAATATGAAAGCATACAATTATTTAATGGACTATGCAAAACAATAGTTAATTTGGATCATCTCCGTCATTAAAATGGACAGTGATGGGGAGTCAGTTGGGTCAACAGTAAATGACATGACCTCAATTGTGGGGCCCATGGTCCCCTCCATATCATCTATCACTTCATTGTATGGTGATGATTCCAATGAATTATGGTTTTCCATTATCTATTGGATTCACATATACTTCACTTTTCTTTGTTTATTTTTAAATTTTACCTCTCAATTGTTGTATTTTCTTTTCTTTTTTCCTTTTTTTTATATGTAATTGTTGTATTTTCATTTTGATCTATGTAATGCTGCGTCATGTAATTTGATCTAATGCAAGGCAATATTTTTGTGTACATAATTGTCCTTTTTTTAAAAAAAAATCTTTAATCGTTGTATTTTCATTTTGATCCATGTATTGATGCGTCATGTAATTTGATCTAATGCAAGGCAATATTTTTGTGTATATAATTGTACTTGCTACTTGTGCATGGTGAAATATGTATGGATCTTTGGGGCCTCTGACTGATAAATTAAAATTGATTGTATTTCTTTTACATATGGTGAAATCTGGTGAGCTTTTTTTATGTTATTTGGGACTCTAGTTTGTAAAATACTGATCAGCTCGTAGTAGTGATCAACCCTTGCGATTCTCAGGCAATGGAGGGAGGAAGGGAGGGAGGGAGGGTACTACAATGAAATATTTATTTGGAACTTACCCAAAGAAAGTTATTTCAAGTCACAATGTCACATTGACATATTAGAAGGGAAGATGTCCTTTTTTCATGGATTATTATAAATATTGTCAATGCATTTTTTTTTCTAGAGAAAACCCGGAGTCATGATTAGATGTACCATAAAAGAATCAATTCTACATTCGCAGTAGAATAAACTAACTTTCAAGCTAGGCTTATTGTGCCTTATTTATAATCTGGCATAAAATAAATAAAATTTCATCATGGAATTATATGGAATCAGGTGGCTTATACTATACCTTAAGCCACTTTGAAAAGCAGGGGTCTATTGGACCCTCGATTTTGCACACTTGTAGATCTCATCTAAGCAATCAAATTTTTTTTGAAGCCACACAAGGAAAGGGAGAACATGAGTTCGTCATTATCGTTGAATGCAGCATTCCATCTGGCAGTTGGTGGATTTAGGTCCTCAAGAATTCAAAATTGATTTTTTTTCTTCAAGCTGTATATTTTTTCAAATTGGAGATGATGCGCAAAATTTTAGCCCAAAAAATCCCTCTTGCTATGTCTTTTGGGGCTTGGCTTATAACTTTTGCTATAAGCCACTTGACTTGTGTAATCTTTTTCCTTTGAATGTTAGGTGAGGGATCAAGGAGTGATGCACAAAAACTTTTTTAGAGTAAGAGGAAGTCCCCTTGAGTCTTGAAGTCAAATTGTCTCATCAAATTTTTATGTGACAGTTTTCTTTCTCAATATTTGGAGGGAAAAGAAGAAAAAAGAAAAAGAAAGAAGGAGAATACAAAGCAAACTTAAACAGAAAGTGTGGAGACTAACAAAATAATGAGTAAGAAGAGGGGTATAAAAGGTGAGAGTGAATGAAAGATGTCTAGAGAGCAAAATGAGGTTCGAAAAATATATAAGCTCTGGGGCAAGTTGTCCTGTAAGTCAAGGGCCTTCGGCCAGACCTCTTTGGGCCTGTCATGGGCCAAATCACTGGGGCCCACTCCAGCCTGTTAACTATACATTTAAATGTAGTCTTGGCTCTTAGATCTATGACAAAAGGAATACCATAAGAGATCTATTCCAACCATCCCAACAAGTCTTGTTTGATAGAGAAAGACATTCTATTTTTGTTCGCTCATATTGTTTGATGACATAGGTCATAGATGGATAGCTCGTGCATGCTTTATCAGAAAAGGACACCATGAAGACTTCTAAGCAGAAATGGAAAGTGAGGACAAGAGGGGTAATCCTGTGCATAATTGATAGATGACTATGGCGGCCTATGCAAGCAAAAAAATAGCTGCGTGCATATGATACAATTATTGCCATTATATGCATGTAATGGAAAAACATTGTATTCACATGAATAAGGTTGAGGGATTTACACCTAAACCGTATTGGTTCTGCCATGATGGGCCCAAGCCTAAGAACATAGACCCAATCACCGCCTTTTCATTTTATGGGCCCTGAATTAGTTTTGAGTTGGTTCAACAGTATATACGATCCAAACACGGCCGTGGGCTGGGCCTACTCAGTCCATAGGGCAAGCCTTTCTAACTTGTAGCATTAAGTGTTTGGTCGTAGAGAATATGAAAAGATAGAGAAGCCATGAGTGCAAATATGAAATAAAATGTAGTTCCTGAATATGGTTTATGACAAGTCAAGGGATATTGGTGTTTCCTAAGGGGAACATTGTACTATTAAAGGAGAATGAATGTTCCTGTGTGGCTTATCTTCTTGGGGACATTTCAAATATAATGACATGGTTGAGGAAAGTTAAGAGGCCGGGGGAAGTTAATAGGGGCCTATAATGTTTGGACGATACTTGGTGGAAAATTGTAAATGAAAGTGTCACCAATAATAACATCCAGCGGGAAGTGGACGAGTGGGATGTTTATAGGGACTATCAAATACTTTTGAAAAAAGTTTTGACACAAGTCAGTATTCTGTATGACTTTCCAACACACTTTGAGTGAAGGGGGATGTGGAGGCTGATACATTGGCCAAAGAGGGAGTGGGGAAGCAAGGTCTTGCAAATTGCAATTACGAAGTTTTAGTCTAGTCCATACAACTGGTATCCCATTTATAAAGGGATATCTGTTATTTTATAAGAAATATGCCTTTATACCAAGTTTTAGTGAAGTTAGCAATAAAAAGAGAAGTTAAGAGGCAGGGAATTGGCAGTTGGCACTCCAAATTCTAAGTTCAAATCTTGCCACTAACCTACCCTGGCAAAAGGAAATTAGGAGGGATGTTGGTTTTCCTAGTGGGACGTCTTGTGGTATAAATGAATGAATGGTATGACCCATAGCTTTGGAATATATTAACCTCTGGTTTGTATGCCACACCAAAACACGTGGGGACGTTGGGCTGGTAGCTTGAATATTCTGGCATTTGTGGTTCAAGATGTCACTTCGGATGCAAGTTAAAAAAACAAGCGTGTGGCTGGTGGACATAAAAACACACTGAACTTTAGGGAGTTGAATGACCGAACTTTTGTGCTTATCCAAAGTTATATTCTTTTCTTTAGGGTAGTTCAGCATTAGGATTTGAACTTGGGTTGTTTTAAAAATTACGTTTGTATGTTCGTCAATGGCTGATGGTCCAGGAATGCATGTTAGTCCGAATGGGTCTCAAGTTTCCAATTCAAAATGAGAAATGACAAACTAGAATCAATTCTACCTTGCTAAATATAGAATGCATTATTTTGATCTATGGATGGGGAAAAAACAGAGATATCTGTCAGACTCCGTGGGTTGACCAATTATCTATAAGTATGCCAATAAAACCTATATAAACCAGTTACCTGAATGAATGAATGGTATGACCCATAGCTTTGGAATATATTAACTGCTGGTTTGTATTCCACCCCAAAACACATGGGGACGTTGGGGTTGTAGCTTGAATATTCTGGCATTTGTGGTTCAAGGTGTCACTTTAAAAAGCAAGCATGTGGCTGGTGGACATAAAAACACACTGAACTTAAGTGAGTTGAATGACCGAACTTATGTGCGTATCCCTAGTTATATATTTTTTCTCTAGGGTAGTTCAGCATTAGGATTAGAACTTGGGTTGTTTTAAAAATTATGTTTGTATGTTCTTCAATGGCTGATGGTCCAGGAATGCATGTTAGTCTCCGAACGGGTCCTAAGTTTCTAAAATGAGAAATAATGGAAATAATAAACTATAATTGATTGTAACTGACTAAATATAGAATGTAGTATTTTGATCTACGGATGGGGAAAAAACAGAGATGTTCTGTCAGATTCAGTGGGTTAGCCAGTTACCTGTAAGTATGCCAATAAAACCTATAGAAACCATTTCAAACCATATTTGCCCATCCCAAAAATACCAAATACCAGAGTTGTCCCTGTCAACTCTGCCTTTATTTCGTTGTTCAAACATGGATACCTAATCCTAATTCAATTTCTTAAAACTTTTCCTATTTGGCGTGGATTCAGAGTTACTCGGCCTTGGCTGGATGCCAAGGCAAATAGATATGTACAACATAGGGAAAGGGGGCTTGTGTATAGTACTCAGGTGAGTACTTTACAAACTCACTAGAGTTTTGTAGAACTCAGGCAAACTCCCAAAGTTCTACAGTACTTCGGCAAGGAAACCTGCCACCCATTTTACATTTTACTTGAGTGTAGGAGCCCCCCAAAACCCATATTTTGATCCATCAAGATCTACCTATTAGAATAATTAGATTTGAGAAAAACCACTATATTTCTCACATTTTGTGGAACAAAGAATTGGGGAATTTTTGCCTTATTTTGAAAAAAAATTATTTCTTTGAGTCCGATGGTCAATCTTCGATGAAAATCGAACCTTAGGTATATCCTTTTGTTCTTGATCCAACCATTGGGTAGGTCTTCGACAAATAATGATGATGATGATGATGATGATAAAGTTAGGATCTTATAGATTTGAATATTGGATCTTCTATTTCTCCAAGTTTATGAAAAACCTAAGAAACGCTTATAGGCGTAGTGCTACAGTGTTTCACCACCGCCATGAACTTGCTATGCCTGTTTCAGTTTATTGAACGGAGCTGCAACGGACGACGCCGTCTGTTGTGGTTTCGCGTGAATTTTTGGACCGCCATGGACCGACTTAGTATATCTGTGAGGGTATCGCCATGGACATGCTATGTTCGTGGCGGTTGAAAAAGCACGCTGTTCGATTTCTTCAGATGGCGATGAGCCTACGGGTGAAATCATTGTAGCATTTCGTCCATAGGCATTGTGTAGATGCTTCCTATATATATAGGGTGTGGTTTCTATAAGGTTGCAGCCTTAAACAATCCAATTAAGGTGCACCTCCAAATTTTTATAAAAATTCTTAGGATCATCTAAAAATTTATTTTTATATCTAATTCTAAAAATTTAAACTAAAAATAGTTAAAATCTCGAAAATGGACGGTCTAGATAATGTGTTGCAAGATGTACTATTTCTAGGACTCAAAATCTTTGTTTTTCTTCATATTCATGCATCTCGATGTCGAGATGATCAATTAGAGGGTTTTTCAAAATTAAAACAACCTTTTTCGATGGATTTTTTAGATGCATCTATAATTCTACATTTTAAGGTTGCAACCATATATAAACATTTTCCATATATATATATATATATATATATGGGAGTGGATTCTGTACGCCCACTAGCTGACTGCTACAGTAAACGCTAATGGCCCAGATTGAATCTAGGCCGATCTGACGGTCACGACTTCTTTTCGTGTTTGAATTTTAATTTTTTTCTATAAATCCAAATCACTTGAAATTTTAGGTGTATAATCTTCTCATCAAAGCGTACCTAATAAAAATATAAAAAAAAAAATGGTCCCAAAAAAAAAGACTACAATACCTTGAAACTTTACAGGGGTTATCTTGGTCAAATTTTTGCATATAAAATATTTTTTTTATATTTTTAGAAGATTCACCTATTTTTTATGTACACGCGCTCCAAATTTCAGATTATTCCGATTTGTAAAAAAAAATTAAAATTCAAACACTCTCGGACAACCGTGACTGTCATATTGACCCAGATTCGATCTGGGCCATTGGGAGTTTACTGCAGCGGTATACACATGGGCGTACAGGATTTTTTTCCTATATATATATATGTGTGTGTGTGTATCCATTGTTTTACAAGCCAGTAACAATATTTTTTATATTTCATGCTTTTGATATATTTTCGTATTTAGTTTTTTTTTTTGGATTTTGTTGAAGTTTATATTTTTTCCACAATTTTTGTGAATTTTTTTCAATTATTTGCTCTTTTTTGGGCTTTGGCAGGACTTGGGCAAGCACTCACCCGAGTTACTCGGCAAGGACAGGGCCTGAGTCCCAATTTCTCGCCGAGTTACTTGAAACACTGCTCTAACTCCGCTGATCATGGAAGATGGTAATTAGGCTCCTTGTCATTTCTCTGCTATCTTTTTAGTCTTTTTGAGAATTTTCATTACTTTCAGCAGTTTCACTCTCTTTTGTTTGTCAATAAATTTGCTTTTTGAGCTCTGTTGAATCATCGAGGCAGTGATAAACCCGACCAACTGATTTTCAAGGAGAACCAACCATCGCAAAACTTGAAAGAGATAGTGAGGTACTGAGCTATTAATATTGAACCTTCTGCTCTGTTGCAAAGTTTGCAAGGGCAGGTTTGGATATTTTGAGAAATATTGGGGTAGGTTACCGGGGCCTCGCATGGGTTTACCCGCATAAGTTTAGGAGGTGACCAGTTACATACCCATCTCCATTTCTTCCCATCCAACAGTTGAGAACCTGCACTATATAATTGTTCATCAGGATTTAATTCTACCTGATATTTCTTATTTAAGCTTCTATTCTGACCTTGACTAAAATCTAATGAAGTATTTTTACAAAGTTATGTGGACTAGTAATCAATGCATAACTTTCTGTTCTAATTAATTTTGTAGTAAAAAATTATTTTCTAACAAAAAGAAAGTACTTGGCCAGCTATTGATGAATGAAAAGCAATAGTTGGTGAGAATTAAGGGTTCTTTGGGCAAACAAATCTGTGTAGATATGTAGTATAGATGAGCTCATAGAACTTGGAGGTGAACTAGCTTCAGCAAGCATTACAAGGTCACGTGTCATAAGATACTTTTCAAATGATATTTATATGAAGAATAGTTTCACACATTCACTTTCTACGTGTTAGGTTAGTATGTACATGGTAGTAAAATCTTTCACTTAATGCTAGTTTTGTAAGCTTGTTCTCTCTGCACTCATTGATAACATTTTTCTGAGCAGTCACTGTTGATAAATTAAAATCTTGTTTGTTTTGTATTACCACTGGATATTGTGTTTATATATTGTTTGTTTTGTGACAAATTGACATGTATAGGTAGGTTGTAGGATTGGTGAGAATGAAAGGATTTGGTCACTGACTAGCTGACATGCCCATCAAGGGCTGATCTATATCCTCTATAATTTGTCGAAGCAGATCGCAAGCCACTGGTGTATGGTATATGAATACCATGGGGACCTTGATCTTTCGTTCTCAAAGTCAGATGGTGGAGATGACTGTATGTACATGTGTCTGTCATCAGGCACTACAGTTAATCTTCACGGCCTGTCACCATGAATGGTTGTTGGATAGCCCAATGGTGTACCAGATAACATACAGCAATGATTTATGAATATATCAGTATAATCTTAGTTTTCTTTTCCTGTTTTGAAGTCCAATGCAACAGTTTTAGATTATGAATTGTTAACCTATTAGGCGATGCTTTTACAATTTCTCGTCCCATAGATAGATCTTGATTGTTTGGCTTCAGAAGTTGTCTACCATGCTCTATGTTGTCTGGTGGTGAACATGTTACTGTTCCCAATCTCAAATTCAGAGGGTGGAGATGACCGTACATACATGTGTCTGTCATCAGGAATTACAGTTAATCTTCATGGCCTGTCTCCATGAATGGTTGTTGGATGGCCCAGTGGCGTACCAGATAACATACACCAATGATTTATGAATATATCTTATATCAGTGTAATATTAGTTTTCTTTTCATGTTTCGAAGTCCAATGCAACAGTTTTAGATTACAAATTGTTAACCTATTAGGTGATGCTTTTACATTTGTCGTCCCATTGATAGATCTTGATTGTTTGGCTTCAGAAGTTGTCTGCCATGCTCTATGTTGTCTGGTGGTGGACAAGTTACTGTTCCCAATCTCAAAGTCAGATGGTGGATATGACCGTATATACATGTGTCTGTCATCAGGAACTACAGTTAATCAAAGTTAGATGGTGCAGGAACTGCAGTTAATCAAAGTTAGATGGTGCAGGAACTACAGTTACTCTTCACGGCCTGTCTCCATGAATGGTTGTTGGATGGCCTAGTGGTGTACCAGATAACATACACCAATGATTTATGAATATATCTTATATCAGTGTAATCTTAGTTTTCTTTTCCTGCTTTGAAGTCCAATGCAACAGGTTTAGATTACGAATTGTTAACCTATTAGGTGATGCTTTTACATTTGTCGTCCCATAGATAGATCTTGATTGTTTGCCTTCAGAAGTTGTCTGCCATGCTCTATTTTGTTTGGTGGTGAACAAGTTACTATTCCCAATTGTAGTCCTTTAGACTTCAATTCTAGAATCTAGCTTCAGTTGGTAAATTTGTTTGCAACAAGATTATCGCTTTCTGCCTAGTGATTGTTTTACAAGATTTGAGATTTAGGAAACCAATAAGAAAAGACCTTAGGAAGAGAAGATGCCTCCATATTTATGTCTTTGAATTGGTTAATTAATAATTGTATGCATCGTATGCAGCAAGCCTCTTGTTTATTTGAATTTATTGTTGCATGAGATATAAGGACATCCACACCTCAACGCAAAAGCTATTCAAGTGAAATGTAATATCTTTCCTTTAAATGAAGTAAAATAATGTGGGAATTTGTTGGCGAAAGAACACACTTCCTCCGGAGACTAGCATTAATGAATTTGTGATAAACTTCAAATGCTACACTTTCTTTTGGCTAAACGTCTACTTCTCTACAAATTTTATCTTGGATTACAGTTGCTGCTGCACATGGAGTATTGACACTTTTGAGTTTTGGCATTGTAGGGTGTTCAGTTCCATCCAGAGAGCATTATAAGCACTGAAGGCAAAAGGATTGTGCGCAATTTCATCAGCCTCATTGAGCGAGCAGAGGCACACTCAAAATACGGGCTTCTGGGTGCTTAAAAAGTTTGAAAAATGCAGAGGAGCTTTTCTATGCTGATTTCTCTTGTTCTTTTTCAGGTACAGCAGAAGCGGATATTCTAATATTCCCTTGGTGTTACTAAACTATTTATCAGACTTGGATTTGTTCTGTTTTCCATTTTAATCCACTCAGACTATCATGTATTTTGTTTTGAGTAAAACATGAAAACAAATGATAAACATAAATAAATGAGCAAAAGGAAACCCGCATAAAGTGTGTGTCAATAGCTCTCTTTCTTTCACACACACACACACTCTCTCATGCATACACAGACACACAATTTGTATCTGTTGTGTGTGCGTGTGTATGAGAGAGAGAGATCGAATCCTGTGACTTTTCTGAACCTCTGAGAATCAAATTGGTAGATTATAGAAAGTACTAAAAAGCAAAAAAAAAGAAAAAGAAAGTTGAATAGTTTTAATTTCAATATTTTGGTAGATTCCCTTACAATGCCTCAGGACAACGAGTAAAACTGGTAAAGCTCCACTACTTAGTGTATAGTATACATGTTTACATCTTATGTTTTTTGGTATTCTAACTGCTAAATCTGGCACGATCCAACGGCTTGTATTCCATAATCAAAATAATTGACAGTCTGCACATGCTATGTTTCTCAGTTTTCATTTTTTTTCTTATTTAACTGGTATTTCTATAATTTCTACACAGGGATTTACTTATTTTTAATTAATTGTGGAGATTCTCCAATCTCCATGAATGTCAATGGACTGTATAGTATGTTACATATGAGATCCTCATCCACATGAGCTAAGCATCGTGCATTACATATTGTATATGTATACACTAGTTATATTGTTTGGATTTTTGAAAGGGGAATTAAAAGAAAGATGGGGTTCTCTTGCAAAATCAAAACTCTTTATCAAAAAAAAAAAATAGATTCTCTTCCATAAACTCTCTCTCTCTCTCGGATTTCGATGCTTAAAACCAGATTCAAAACCAATTTGTGTGTGTGAAATCGATATATATAGTTAGTTGAGCATCACCGAAATCAAGATATGATATCTAACTCTTTTGTTATCCTTAGAACTAAGATATCTAACTCTTTTGTTTATGTAATATCAAAAACAATAGCTAAGAGACATCTATTCTTTTTTATTTGATGTGATGGGATCGTATTCTATGAGATTATTTACTTTTGTTACAAAGAGGTCACAATAATTTTTAGCCATTAGATGTCATATTGTATGGCTTGGGGTGTGTCACAAAGTTTTGATAGTCAATGACTTACAACTACCCAATTTGAAATTTGATAAACGACGGATTGTGATCTTCTTGCACTAAACATAAAATAAATGGTCTTTTTGCATACTTTTCTTATCGTGACGGCATAAAAAAGAAAAAGCCAAAAGGTTATATGCTCCAGTGGGAGCATATACTAGATCCACTCCCCGGAGTAAAAGCCATGCTTAAGGAGTAATTAGGGCTAAATTGATGGAACTTCCTCAACTTAGCGACCAACCTAAAAAAAGTAATGCTCCATAGATGTGAATAATGCTTCATAGATGTGCTTGGAAGGAAGAAATGTCCTTTTATTGAATAATCTATCAAATATATAGATAGTAAAATCTTAAGTGATTAGGGAAGAATAATGTCCTGGGGTTGAATAGAGACATCAAATATTTAGATAGTAGAGTCTTAACTCTTAAGTGATTGGGAATCTCTATATGAAAATATTCATCTGATAATTATAAAGCGGATTAAAAGATACAAGACTGAGAAGATCCTCCTAAGCTAGATGAAGTGAGCAAGTACTGCTAGCTGCATGCTCTAAACATTAATTTGCTACGTTACATTTGTCTTCCTATTTGATATCAGTAACATTACAATTTAAAATCTTGGTGGGAAATATCACTTAAATCCCCAAATGTTTTCTTTTTAAGAAAACTTATTCCTCAAATCAATTTACAAAATCACTATGGTGGTTGAATGATTCATTTTCCCACTAGAATGTGAGTGATCATAACGACACTTTTTTAATTGTGGGCAAGGAAGATGCACGTAGGAGTTTTACATCTTCAAGGAAAATCTTACAATTTTTAAAAATTTAACTTATTTAGGGTTTGAACTCCGAATAAGTAGGGGAATTTAGGTAGTTTGGCCACAATCAAGTGGCTCCAACCATATGATATCGTCAATTATTGGTTTTTTTTTTTTTGGGGTAAATTATTGGGGAATACAGCCTCTACCTATTTTAAAAATAGTCGGTGGTTTTGAGTTAGTGGGAATGGAAACCTAAACCGATAGTTGAGGCTCGGTAATGCTACCACCATAATCTCAACCACATTCCTACACTAGTTAATGTAGTTAATAAGATGGAACTGCTAAATGATATTTATACTCTCGGTTATTTTTGTTCCTTTTTCCCAACCCTAAACAACTAGGGATTTTACCCTTGTATGATTGAAGCGTTGCCAAATTGCCAAATTCTCA